ATGGCTTAAACTATCTTGCTTTGCATGAAATGAGTCTATCTCATACATTAGTTTCACCTTTTAAGTTGCATTACTGAAATAAATGAACTTTTGCATGATATTCTAATTTTTCGAGTTTCACCTGTATACCCACTCCAGAATCTTCAATACATTCAGCTGGATGTGGTTCCAGATTATAAGAATGATAAATTATGAAATCTCAAACCCAATATTATAAGTGCAATGCTGCAGTTCAAAGAGGATTTTTGAGATAGATCAATATGCATTATTTATGTGGGAAATATATTTGGAGCATGTGGCAAAATTCACACCTGAATAATAAACCATATTATTTGGCAAGATAGGCAGAAATAGTGTTTTCTTTAGCAAATGTCAGCCTTCTGTTTCTTCAGATCTAAAGTCTCAATTCCCCATTTTTGATTTGGTATGCAGAAATGATAACTCAATCAATCAATGAAATCAGTAGGATCTCAAATGAAGGAGAGGTAATTATTTAGGTATTCACTATAGAATCAGGGATAACCAACATCAGGAAGCATAATCAGCCTGATGTCATATTTGTAACCATCAGGCCTCCAAAGCATCCTTTTAACTGCCTTCAATTATGAGGTATCCAACTATGGGATGTTGCCAACAGGAAAAATATTCTAATTCAGAAGATTATCCAAAGGGCTTTTAGTAACGTTTGTTACCTTTTTCACTCATGGTTTTTTAAGCATGAGTTCATACACTGAACAGATAGAAAGATATTGGGTCCATATCCAGCATATCCATTGGAAGAGATTGACACTTAATGGCACAGAGTGTATTTGCATTCTGTGCACATTGTAGAACTTAGAAGCCACCCCAACCACCCCTACCTGAGTTTGGTTGAGCTCAAAAGTTAAAGAGGCTCAAATTATTACATGGAAGGGAGACCATGAGGAAAATCTTTGCTTGTGAAGTAGACTTGGAAGCCACCATTGTTGACAAGCAAAGAACATGGAGGTTGCAGATTCTCCCACTCTCTTCCTCAGAAGGCACTGAGGGCTACAATGGACATTTTATCTATGCAACATTGCCAGTTTTAAAGCAGCTATGCTTCTTATAAGACCATAGTCTTAAAGTGACCTCTGCTGTTTATAGGGCATTTCTAGTCTAGATTTCTTTTAATCAAGTTGAATTCATTCTCTTGCCTTAAATATTTAAAAAACATGCCATTTTAATTAGTTCTCTAAAATTCAGAGGTCCTTGTTCTCTTGTATTCCTCAGTTTAAGACAATATAACTAGGCAAGAAATGAATTAAAAGGCAAGAAACGAATGCTGTCATTACCACATTAATATAATTTAAGTTTTTCTGTTGTTCATATCTATTTATCGCTTTATTTGTCAGATTTATAATGCCCTTTCTGCAAAAGCTCAGTGATATTGTGTGATTGACAGTAGTCTTGAACCCGAGTTTCACATGCAACTTCTGAATCACCACATTTCAGTTGCTTTTCACTGAATTTTACTTATACTAGATAATGTTATTTGTGCAACAGAAAGTTTGCTTTTTGTGTAACACCAATATTCACCCATGTAATATATTCTTTTTAAGCTTCAGCCTTTATGTAGTTATTTCAAATAATTACATTAGAAAAATACAATTTCTTCTGTCAACCAAAAGAAAATTTTTTGACAGAATTTATTATGTTTTAATGCAACTGTGAGTATCACTGCAGTGAAAATATCCAGGCCATTGCAATCTTGGAGATAAATTATTTCAAATATTAGCTTCCTGCAGAGATAATACAATTATGCTCTGGAATATTCATTAATTCTATTCCTTATACACTTTAGAATTATCTTCAAAAAATTTTGATTGACTATAATCTTTTTTGTGGAATGTTCTTGGCTTGGTATTTGAAATAAGAGTATTTTAACCTATCAGTGATATTTAGATTAAAGAGTCATTTTATACTCCCCATTGATTGAATTGTAGTGTTGATTTTTCTATTTAAATAGATTTTTACAACTATTATTTTACAATATATTTTATTTATTCATTTATCTAACACAACAGCGTCCTATCCTTCTCAGGGAAACATAACACTGTTAAAAAACAAATGCATAACTAAGCATGGCATACAGAAAATAATTGAAAACAAATTAACTAATTGAACATAAAGAAATAGAAAATGGAAATGGAAACTCTCTATAGTTCCTCTTCCACTGTGCTGCAAATTCTCATTTCATCAGGTTGCGATCTTTTATTCTTGACATTTGGCCTAAAGACATTCTTCCCTTTTACCCTTTTGGTGAATTAAAAAATATGGTTATCTGTCCTGTATAGGATTAAAGCAGGGGTGTCCAACCTTGGCAACTTTTAAGACTTGTGGACATGCATGGCTGGCTGGGGAATTTTGGAAGGTCCACAAGTCTTAAAGTTGCCAAGGTTGGAAAGACTGGACTAGAGGCAATGAACCAGGGACAGCATTTAAGCAATAGGAGTGGATCTTAACAAATCTAAACAGGATTAGCTCTGATTAGTCCCTAAATGGGAGAAAATCAGAAAATCCAGGTTGCACACTAGGAAAGGATTTGGGTGGAGGGAAGGGAATCATTACAGGCACAACTGGCAAACTATTTCTATACTGTTGCTAAGGAAACTGCAGGGATGCCTTCTTGTAGTCACCTTAGATACAATGAACAATTACCTTTTATATGAACTCCAGTTCTCACAGCCACTGTATGTAATGGGAGCATAGGACTGCACTGATTTTGCCTCTTATTCATAGATGTAGAAGGTTTGTTCTGCTTTTCCCAATATTGCTAATCACTGTGGCTTGTAGCAATAAACTCCTTTAACTACCATTCTTTTGCCTGTTTAATTCATTGCCTGAATAAATGCATTCTGTTCTTACAGCATTTATGACAAAAGGTTATACCCATCAAATACAAACTTTCTAAATATTGTTTCTACGTAATACCTGTTCACTTTCTAACTGTTATGCATGTGCTAATGGGGCAATGCTTCTTACAGGAAAGGTAGGTAAGAAAATAAAGCTATGATCACCCTACATTCTAAAAGTATATGTATTTTGAAACTTTATTGATAACTTTATTAGGATAAATGAATGAATTTGGCACAGTGGCAGAGAGATATAAATGAATGGTCCTGATATACTAGATTCCATCTTGTGTTTTGGAAAAGCAAAATGGCAACTTGATTCTGGTCATTCAGCAAGGCCAAAGGGGAGCACCTTTGGCAGCAGCTCTTTTCAATTTCGATCTATTAGTTCTTAACAAGCAACTAATCCTTATTGCCCATTTCTCAAAGAATGGGTTTTCTCAATATTGTTCCATTTAAATTTAAATTTCATATAATTCAGAGGAGAAACCATTTCTTTCCCTTTTTTGTTCCCCAAGTTATCATCATCAACAGCCTAATTGCAGGCAATCCCATTAGGTATTATGCTTTGCAGTAATGATACACAAATGGAAACAAACAACATGAAATGATCAATAATAATGTAGTTTCAGAATCAATTATAAAACAATTAGTCTAAAGAAATTAATCTTCCCTCACACAACAATGCCCTAATGAACTTTAGCAAACAGCTTCTAGTGGAAACAAAAAACCTCTGAAGAATAGGACTAAAGACATTTCTGTTCAAGGGAATTAATTTAACACAATACCTATGCATAAAAGAACTCTTTTGCTTCCTTAAAAGCACTCATTAATTATTCATTCAGATTTCACATTCTATATCCCATTAGCTTTATATCTGCAAAGTTGTTGATGACCACTTATTAGGGCCAAATAATTAGGGCTTTTATTCTCTATGGCACAATGGAAAAATCATCAATTGCTTTAAAAAAAAATTAAGCCAGCATGTGGAAGTAAGCTTAAGCAGTTTTTCCATCTCTCATAGGATGATATTATTCAGTTTTATTCACTGAATCCAGTAGGACTTACTCCACTGATATTCACAGAAGCAGTGAAGCACCAATTCTGACATATAATGTAATAATGTAATAATGTAAATAATAATTAATGCCTGATTCTTAAATTTTCTACTTTGAGATCAGGCAACCTATATACTGCTGAACAATATCTCTAGGAATCATGGCCAATAGTGAAGGATGCTGAAAGTTACACATTTAGCAGCATCTTCAATACAACATCATAAGATGGGGAAATAATAATCTTCCAATTATTACAATAGTTTTGAATGACAATTAACCAACATGGCCCAATGTGAGAGATGCTGGAATTTTGACACAGAAACACATGTGATATAAAAAGTGATCATACAAATATGCTCAGTATACTTACTTATGGCTTACTTATTACTCATTAATCATCCCACTATACAGTCTGGTTTAAATACTACTTAGGCTAAAATACAGCTGGTTAGCTTATGTTTCAGCTTTATACTCATCCTATGAGTTCACTGTGAATTGCTTAGCTAAAAGGGCTATTTCCAATTTTTCATGAGATCTGACAATAATTTCTAATTTTGCCTGGATTGGATATATTTTACCATGCAAAGCAAAATTTAAATAGCAAAAACAAATAACTTGAAAAAGGACTCATCCAGAAGAGCCTGTAATTTTGTATTTATTTTAATAAATGTTTAATTCCTGGTATGAATGAAGGCTTAAGCAGCTAAAATGCTATGAAAGAGAGAGGCTGAATTACCTTTAAAAATGCTAACTAATAATTTTAAAGGATTTTCTCACCTCCTTATAGTTCATTTCCATTTATCAAGAATATCAGGTAAATGCAAATAATATATAAGATATTTCTAGAATCTTAGTAGCAGAACAAGTGGTGCAAAATAAGTTCTATTAATTTATCTGGAAACAAATCCAATTCAAATGCATGTCACAGCCAAGGCTTTTGAATTTACATGCCTACCTCACAACATAGGTCATAGCCCCAGGCAATTTATTACATTGTCAGCCATGTGACAAAAAGGGAGGAGAAAACTAGAGAGTATCTATTGTTTATTTTTTCTATAAATTACTGTAAACCCTCTATTCCTCTATAAGAGTTGCTTGTATTTTGGACCACAGGAAAACTTGGCAGCAGGACTGTTTGCTCTGAAGACTACTAAAAAGAACATGCAGACTTTAAGGTAAATGAATATATAACCCATTACTTGAAATGAAAATTAAAATATGTAATATTCTGCATTTTTTTCCATCTGTATATAATTGACAGTGATATAGGGATATTAATTTTTTTCTTCTGAGAGCGCTTGCAGTTTTCTTGGCAAAGTTTTTCAGAAGTGATTTGCCATTCAGCTGGCTTTGTGCCTAAAGGCAAGACTAGAACTCATGACCTCCCAGGTTCTAACTTGGTGCTTTAACCATAATATCAAACTGGCTCTCATGAATGTTATAATGTTTAGATATTAATAGTTTTTATTATTTATTTTTATTAATGTATTTTCTGTTAGTATATATTTCTGTTAGTATATATTGATGCTTGAAAATGATAACAAAAATATCCTAAGATTACTATTATGGTTTCTGCTTGTTTAGATCTTTCCATTTCATTTTTTTGATGACCATGACAGTATATGTAATCCAGATGACATATGGTAAGTAAATTTATTCCATATGATTTTAATTGTCTCAGTCCATCAAAAGCTCCCCCTGTAAATTGATTTCTTGTAAAGCTTAGCAAATGCAGTGTTGAGCCCCTGTTAGCCTTCCTTTTTTAATGCAGAGCTTTTAGCCAGAATAGCTTCCCATAGGGTTAAAATACAAAACACTTAAGAGATGGGCTACTGGTCTCCAATAGCTAGAGACCCAGGAAATTGGGGAAAGGAAAACCAGTGTCTTCCCCCCACTCCCATCACACTTACTTTGGAAAAATTAGAAGTCTTGAATTTGTCCTTATTTTATATATATTGGAGTGGGCACAAATGCAATGCTATCCATTTAAAAGTTATCATACATATGTTGAATCTTAAAAAGGAGTTCTAAACAACAACTTCATTATCTCATTGCTAAAACTCATCAAAACTAGCTTAGGAAATGCATGAAATACTGCATATGTTTTCTTGATGTAACAAATCATCTAATAAAAACATAAGGGCTGAGTATGGTAGCCCTGGAAGGGCAAGTAGTATGGGCATTATTGAATTGTATGTGTTTCTTCTCTTCTAAAAGCTTGTGAGGGCGAAGACTGTGACAATGATGCCCCAAGTTTGGAAAATAGGAATCATGCTTTGAAAACCTTTAATGTTCTCAATCAACTTAATTCTGAAAAGAGGAGGAACAATCCACCCAATGTTATACCTTTCATTGGGATCACAGATAGTAAGTTTTTGCAAAGTGTATAAACTGTTGTAGATTTTTATGTTTGGTTGTAAACCACCCAGAGAACTTCAGCTATTGAGTGACCTAAAAAAAATAACATTACTAAATGTCCAGCTGGATCTTCTCAGGAGGAAAAACTTTAGGAAAAAGTTGTGATGCTTCAAGGCACTTTTGCTCTTGGGTTCAAGACTGGGAGTTCTCACTTCTTACATTAATAACAATCTGTAAAGTAGATTGAATTCATATAGTTATAAATCATTTCTTAAACCACAATTAAGTATGTTTATGAACTATGATCTAATAGTTCACGTAGGTGTAGTATAAAGTTATTTGAGTCAGAATCTAAGTCCACCCCTAGTCTCGTAAATCCAGTAGATATTTTCATGTAGGCCAGCCAATTTACAATGCTGTTTATGGAAAAAAAGAGTGCTGTATATGTTTCTTGAATTCCTAAAAGAAAGATTGAATTTAATTCCATGTTGCTAATAAACTAAGCTATGAACTATAATTTATATACCACAGCAGCTGGGTACAAGCAATAGTTTGATGTTAGATTAACACCTAATAAGTGAGTGACCCAATTGTGTGTACTGAACTATGTAATTGAGGATTCAAACTTAGATTTACTTGATTTCTAGAGATACTCATTTCTGTTACTTTAGTAGCCAATGTTTGTCCATTGATATAAGCATTATCCAATTATCTGGGAATTTTGTCTTGAACTGCACAATTTGTGTTAAGAACACAGTTTGAGATGTTATATTAACTGAAAAGGTGTACCCTGTCATGTTATAATCCAAATTGTGATTACAACTGAGTTATAGAAAATGGTATGTAACTTTACTGTGTATATTCTAGTTAGTATTAAAAGATGCTCTATCTAGTGGGTTTTATGCAGTTCAGACTGATTCTAATAAAGTTTTATATTAACTATCCTACAATCAGAATTGGGAGGTGTCTTTAAATATTGTTTAATGCAACCCTTTTCCAACCGCATAAAAGCTACTAGAAAGAGCATCTCTTAATATCAACTATGCCTGGATTCACATATTGTGCAAAATCAAAAAAGCAGATTATAAATGTGGTTGTTTGGAACTATGTTATGAATTAATTCAATGTGTGAACCAAGCCTCAATATGAAATCTCTAGGAAAATTCAAGGAGGAGTAATACTCAGATAACTGATTAGCTGCTGCTTGACATCTTTTTAAAAGCGCTCCTAAAAACACTTTAATAATCAGATTGACTGATTCATAGAAATCAAGCAAAGTCATTAATCAATTATGCTAATCAAATATATTTTCTTTCAAAATAATATTGTCTCTGTATTAAATACACAAGGTTTAGATAATGTCAAGCTAATCTCTAATATGTGTGCTTAATAAATTTCAATTTCCTAAAGGAAAAGTGTTACATAGAATGTTCCTTAGTTATTATAAAAGCTTCTAAAAAGTTGATTGCTTTCTAACTTCCATATAAAAATTGGAACTTTTTACGTTGACATCAATATTAACAGCAAGGCTGTTTGTTATTTATGATTTATACAGAATTTCTGAATTTTTAAAATATTTTGTATTCCAGCATTCTTCCATAAAAGGCCAAATAAAAATTATATTGTACCTATTTTGCAAGGGAGAAATATAGCTGTTGAGATAATGACTTTCTCGAGATGAATTTACAGATGAATAGGATTCGAAAATACATTCCCTGTAAACAATCTTTTTACACCAGCTTTCCACGTTTCCGCCTTCTATTATTTCTTGGACTGTAATTTTCAACATCTTCATCAAACCCAATGACCACCACTATATCTCTGAACAATAGTATTTGTAATGTAGCGCTTCTGGAGGTGGTCAGATTGGGAAGTTTGTTCACCTTATATTGATAAACACATAACATTTCCTAGCATTTCAAATCATTCATGGCATCTTCCATTTATTATTTTGTTATCTTTAGAATAGTAATGAATACTCTTTTCCTCCATTAGCTGCATGCCTTAATTATGTAATGAATTTATGAGCAACTTTGCTGCAATCCATGAGCACAGGATGCTTGATGGCCATTGCAACATGCCATGCCATTCCTACAGTGTTAACAATTGGTGCGAATGGCTCCTGTTTTTGGATCTGAACTTTGATAAGTACAATCCTATGCAAACCATCACTGATGGCCAGCCGGGACATCACATAATCCTGAATTTATGTAACAATTGCTTGTGATGCTATTATATAGTATACCATCAGTAAAAAAAAAAAAAAGATAAACATCTATTCTGTAGATTAATTACAAGTTACTGCAGGTTTTGGGGATTTCTAATAAATTTGAAACCATCTGAAATCTTTATTCCCCCCCCCCCACTTTTTTTTTTAAAGATACAGAACTCTGATGTTTTATAAGTTTAAATTTCTTTTCATGAATTAATATCTTCAAAACATTTTGGTAAATTTGATCCACAGTACAGCATGTCCAAAATTTCATAAAGTTTCTGAATTGTTCAGTTGATCCATACTGGACCACATGTCGAAATATGCATGTGGCTAGAATTTCTTCAACTATTTTTACTAGAGAATTAAACTTCTGTACAATCTCACATAAATTCTAATCTTTTGTATAGGACACTCATAAAGAGTAACTCATTCTCTGTATTAGTAGACAAATCTACAGACCATAGCTTCCACAAATCTGGTTTGTCTTTGTTTTATAATGTATTTATTTTCAGTTTATGCATTATAAAAATTTTTATCCTACCTTTATTACTTTAGAAGTAATTCAAGGCAGCAAACCTAAGTGATACTCCTTATTCCTCCCTTTTCTCCCACAACAAGTCTGTGATGCGAGTTGGGCTGAATTGAGCCCAGAGTCACCCAGCTGGCTTTCATGTCTAAGGTGACAGGACTAGAACTCACAATCTTCTGGTTTCCAGTCTGTCTTAACCACTAGACCAAAGTGGCTAATAAAATTTAAAAGGTCACTTAACTCTACAATGGACACAGCAGAAGAGAAACTAGTGGACTTTCATCATATGTAGCAGCTTGCTATTTGTAGGACAGTAGTTTTTAAGAAGGTCTATTTTTTCAAAGAAATTTGACATACTGTTTTATGATTTTCTCCCTGTTTATTTCTAGCAGGCAAATTGAGCAAACACTGCTGCAAAAATGGAGGAACTTGTTTCCTGGGAACTTTTTGTATATGCCCAAAACATTTCAGTGGGAGATACTGTGAATATGATACAAGGATTAGGTATGTAAAAGTTCTCTGGGATCCATCGAGCATTATGCTAGTGGACTTTTCCACACCCAACCGTCACAAATAATCCTGTCTCTCTCTTCTTCCTTTCTTCCTTTTTCAAATCTGCTCCAGAAAAAGTGAGTTGGGTGGAGGGAGAGCTGGAGAGGCACAGCATGTAAATAACATGTATCATTTGTCCTGGGGAATTTATTTATTGTATTTTTTCCACTTTTTCTCTGTGTGAATTCAAGGCAACATTCATGGAGAAAGACTTCCTTTAGATGAGAGTTTCCCAGGCTTGACAGCTTTTAAGATAAGTAGACTTCAACTCCTAGAATTCTGGGAGTTGAAATCCATCCATCTTAAAGCTGCCAAAGTTGAGAGACACTGATTTAGATAATACCTACAGTAATAACTCTTAAGGTAGATGATGCTGAGAAAAATTTACTTAGCTCAATTCATCCGGTGAGCGCTATAGTTAAATGGAGATTTGCAATTATCTCTTCTGTTTAACTCTTGACTATTTGTATGTAAAACAAGCATTATCTAACCTGATACCTCCATTATCCTTCAATTAAAATTCTCTTTATTTTCCGATAATCCACCAATTCAATTCTAATACACCTCTCAAAATTGAGCAACAAAGACTTTAATTATGAAGAGCAGCTCCCAAGGAAAGTGAATGTAGCATCTAACTTAGACATATTTTGGAGTTAAAAACCCAGGCGAACTTTTTGAGTTTCCCTCTCACACTTTTTGATTTATTTTACTTTGTATATTTGGATGCTGCCTGGCTTCTAGTGACTGTTTATGTTTCTTTGTATATGTTGTTGAATTCCTGTCAGTCCTATGGGTATTTCCTTTTTGCTTCAGAAAAGAAAAGGCTCCCTTTTGTGATTTTATGGGGTTTTCTGAGAGCCTCTGGAACTCATTGCAAGCTCCTGTTTACTAAAACGTTGTGATTTCTTAGGAATTGTGGTTCCCTCGGACACGGTGAGTGGTCTCAAGAAGAATGCCAATTATGTCGCTGTATTTATGGGACTTTAGAATGCCTGCCTAGTGTTCACAAGCAAGGATGTGGTAAGAAGCAATTGAATTATTCCTCTGAAAGCTGAGCTGACTGAACTGCCAATTTCCTAATAGTTCCTTGTTCCTTTACTCAGTGCTTAAATTTCTTATGTCAGTGAAAAAGTACTTATGTGGAGTAAAGGGAGGGAAATAATTAAGAGGGAAGCTGAAATATCTGCATGCCACTGATAGATCAAAAATTCTAATTTCTCCTCCAGTTTTGTCTGTTAATTTCATGGAAAGAAAATATTAATTACTGACATTCTTCTCATTTAGAGTCTGCTGGTTCCAGATGACCTGGACATTCAAAGAGAGCCTTTAGCTGTAAGTATTAGTTTCTATTGTCCTAAGACAGCATGGGCACAGAACAAGACTGCAGAGATAAAAACCTCTATTTGAAGACGTCATTTAAATAACATTAAGTGTCATTTAAGTATTTAAGCAGTTCAGCAGTTTTGAGTATTTAGCAGTTGAGAAATAGGACATATCATTGCTATATTTATTATATCCTGCCTTTCTTCCAGGATTTGATTTACCATAAGGCATCTAGCCCATGGACTTTTCTTCTAAACATCTCTTGATAACTGTTTTTTTCCTAACCTTTCCTCGTTGTCTTGACTTCATCTCATCCCCAGCTATCCTCTTTTCACAGCACAATTTTTGCTAGGAAAGCAATCTGGCACGGATGATATGGTTGATCATGCATTTAGATTAAAAAGTACCCAGATCTGATGGTCACTTTTAGATGCGATAGGCCCACACCTCACTGCTACCATTCTGTCTCATGACCATGTCGGCTTCTTTGGGGCATGTACACACATCATGTCTGAGTGGCACTTTCCATAGCAATTATTGGATCTTCCATATTCTCTTTATCTTCATGGATTCAGTGCTCTATTGAAAAGAATGTTAAGATTTTTGCTTTAAAATGTGTCTCATGCTAGTGTGCCAGACAGCTTGAATGTTCTGTTCTACGTTGCTAGCCCAGTAGCCATTGCTTGCATTGTGTACCAGAGGTTTCAGTGGGCCACACTTTTCTATTTACACAACTTTCACTACATTCTATAATGGTATGTGAGAAAAACCTTGAGAGATGGGGTGAAGAAATGTTACCTAGGGGAATGGTTAAATAAGAGAAGTCATAGCTCACCTCTGCAGAATGGACACAGAAAGAGACTGAGAACGAATCTTCCTAGCTTCTCAGGCTGTTAAGGAGAGGGCAGGAGATTTATACTTTCAGATTTGCAAGAGTTATTGCAGCCTTACAACAAGGTGGAGTTAGCTCATCTGGTGATGTTTCCTGACTGGTTTATCTGGGAAGAGTGACATCATCCTTGTTCTCCAACCTTTATGTAGAGAACTATGACCTCTCTTGTCTAAGCATTCCCTGGGCAGCATTTCCTCACCCTGTCTCTCAAGGTTTTTCTCACATATCATTATACATTCTGAGGATTTAACAACTGCTGCGTTTATGGCTCAGTGCTCCTAAGATTACTGTCATGTAGCTGCAGCTCCTATGGTTTATTCAATGAACTATAGCTATTTATGTCACCTTTAGTAATATGCAATAGAGGGAAGCATCATTTTGCCTATTCCATTCTGGTTCTGAGATGCTGATTTGGGTATCCCCTACTCTTCAAACCTCCTGTCATTGGTGGGGCTGAGTACCTTAAGTTCACATTATGTGATCATTTTGTGTTTTGTTCAAAAAAGTTTAATTCTCTAGATTTTAAATGGAAGTTCTTCAAGTTCCATAGGCTAGACTAATTTTTAATGAATTTTTCTTAAATGCTTCTAAAAATGGTAGAGAGAAAAAAAGAAAAACAAGGAACAAAAAAGAGATAAAAAGTTGTGGGCATCCTGATTCCAAAATATAATAAAACAGTTTTGCAGAAATTAAATTTGATTATGTATGACTTTGAGTAGATTCATATAGTTTATCTGGCAACAGTACAGAACTGACCTTTTTTCAGTTTTTTTTTTAACATTCTACAATTATGGGATCTCCTAGTGGTCTCCCATCCGAGAACTTTATTTGCTTTGCTTTTTCAAAATCAGTCAAGATTTGCTAGCTTCTGCATCTGAGCTAGGTTCCAAATTAGAAAAAAAATGTGGAAATAGAGATTGAGAAATGTGCCCAATTTAAAATAGGGGATGTCCATTCTTCAAGGTCATGTGTATTTGTTAAATGTCTTATCTGAAGCATTTCTCCTTTCCATTTGAGTTTGCCGTCACTGGCAGCTTTCATTAAAGGCATTGCCTTGTGATCCACTGCCAAGGGAGTCTAAATTAATGGTAACATGAAACTAGGCCTTTAGCATGGACCCTGTGGGATTTCTTCAGATCAAGGCCAAGTTGATTCCATTCCAAATGAGTTTCAGGTAGGCAGCTAAAAAAGCAGAATTGCCACACATTTGATACATTTTAAGATAATTTTTTAAATTCTATTGTGATAGTATATATATTTTATATAAAAGAGAAAATAGCTTTATTGGTTTAGAAGGTGGGTCACAAAATTTGCTAGCATTACTGAAATAAAATCTCTGAGAAACGACTTCATTCCTAATACCATGGATAAAATTAAATAAGGATAGTGGTAAAACAATAAATATTGAAATTAAGGGAAATAATATATTAGGAAAAATCTTACAGGTATATGAATATCAAACAACATGGACTTTTAAAGGTCTCAGCAACAAACTAGGCAGCGTACTCTGGTCTAATGATTAAGGTACTAGACTAGAAACTAGGAGTTTTAGTCCTTTAGGCACAAAAACCAGTTGGATGATTTTGAGCCAATCAAACTCCTTCAGCCTAACCTACATCATAGGGTTGTTGTTAAAAGGAAAATAAGAAGTGGAAGAACTGTGCAAACTGCTTTGAACTACAGAAAATAAAGGTGATGTAAATTTAAACCATGCAATGAACACAATGGAACAAGCTTCTGAAGAAAAAGCCCAAATTCGGGAAATTTGTATTTAATGCTTCTTATATTAACAACCCCCATCCTAACCCACTCTTCAGCATTATGTTGTACTTCCCAGTTAAATCTACAACTATCACTCTGATTGTTTAATTTGTCTGCATGAAAAAAGTGGCACTTCACATAAAAGACATCTTAGGAAATTTGCATATGAATGTCTTGAAATGCTATTAATCACTTTATAAAGTTTTCTGTTGGAAAAATGCTTTGCATTTTTCAAGGAGTTTTTAGTTCACAACTCAGTTCAAAATAAGAATAGTCAAAGTTTGGGAGATCTCTTCAAAAACAACCCATGTATTTTATTTTTCATCAAGATAACATATGCTTTTTATAAATTTGTTGTTCTTCAGATCCTGTAAAGGAGAAATTACTTCAATTCAATCTAGAAACCAGATCTGAATGTGAACACATTTCTACAGGACATGAGACATATCTTTGGAAACCTTCATTATTTCCTCCCATGACTGACAGGATAAATTGGAAGAAAGCTGGTTCTTTGTTCAACTGTTTTATTTGACAGTTTGCACCACTCAGGATAAGCATACCCGTTTCTTATGTTTGTGCCCTGAACAATTACTTCAAAAGATATCATTTGTATATTATAATGACAAAGCACAATTTCTGAAACATGTTCAGTGATCAAAGATTAGATCCTGTTCATTTCACATCAGAATTTGTAGAGAAACAAGTCTAGAATACATAAATGCATGATGATAGAGAAGAGCCAATAGATACTATATATGTGCTTTCATTACCTGCCCTAAGCTTGTTAGTCCCTTCCAGACTGTCAAATGCAGCAGGAGCCCAGCGGTTTAAGCAATTAATCCATGCCCTGTTTCTTTTCAAATTCTATTGCATTATGAAAGAATTTTCTCTATTAAGATTTGGAGAGAGACCGTAGACAGAATATATTGGCCAAAATGAATACAGGATATATATGGAATTTGGGATTATCCATCTAGGGCATTCTAGGCAATGTTATATTGACATGATCATTAAGCTATCAACTCTTGCATGAACTTTGTAGTCTACATTTTTGATGTTTTAATTACAGAGGGATGGTTCTTCCAGTGGAAGATGTTACATCTACTACCAAAGTGGCATCTGTAAATATGGATTGAGATGCATATATAATACTGTTTGTTAATAGATTATGTTTGTGTGTGCATGTAATATATATATGTATATATGTGTTTTAAAATCTCTCACTGAAATTGTAGAAAATATGTGATAATTAAGATAGTTATGCATTAACTGAGATTTATTATTACTATCTTTTATGTTTCAACTTTCCTGATTAAACTGTATTTGTAGATAAACCCAAAATGCATGTTTGTAATAAATTTGCTCTGTGAAATGTGTCAGGCTTACTTTCAAGATCTCTTACCCTATAAATGGTCTCTTTAAACCGTAAGCTAATATTTAGGTTTCATTTGATCTCCAATCAATGACACAGATACAGACTATGGCAGCTGTAACATATGAGAGCAATTAACTTATTCATTCAGATGAACTGTGTGTATTTAAAACTAAAGGTCACTTTAGCTAATGTAACTGATTATATTATACTGCATATACATACCTTAATACAAGTATATATAATCTCTCTTACTTAATCCCATATATAATTTATCACCATAATACTTTATTTTAAAGCTGATCTATGCAAAAGCAATACTAACACCTTTCCCAGAAATGGTGTTTCAACTTTTTCCAGAAATGGTGTTTCAAGTGCACAGGTTTACTACAGTTAAAGTTTCTGTGTCCTGGTTGTCCTTGGTTTAACCATGGATGGGTGTGGCCAGCACAAGGCGCATCTGGTCTGCCGGCCAGGCGTTTGACAGCTCTGCTGTAGGCGAAGACAGCCAGAAGGACACTCAAAGCAAATATTTAAAAATATTTTACATGTTATGTAAACAAAAAAGATTGAAGCATATCTTAAGTCCTGGGAAAGGAGATAGCAAGGACGATTCAGGTGGATTCCTCACTCTCATCCTGATTCACTGGGGTATGAGAAAAAAGGCAAGAAAAGGCACAATGAAACTTTCAAAATTATACTGTATTACCATAGAGCAATGTTTCTCAGCCTCAGCAAATTTAAAATGTGTGCTAGGGAATTTTGGGAGTTGAAATCCAAATAGCTTAAAATTGTTGAGTTTGAGAAACATATAGTCTGTCTCAATAAACTTAAGTCTTGCTATGGAGCTGGTCTACCTTGTCAGGCTCACAGTAGGATACATAATGCATAGATTACTGAGATCATGATTCTTCAAAATACCCAGAAAATACATGTGTAGTAAGATATCAGAAATGTCTGATCTCCTAACCAATCTCATTCAATTAGCACTTTTTTCAGAGTGATTTGAAGCCATCTTAATATACAGAGAAGGTATTTAATCTATAGCTAGAATGATTTTTTAATTGTGGAATTTGTACTTTAGCTATAGTTCAGGTGCTAATTTATATATCATATTTATATTCGCATTTGCCACAACATTATTCAACTAATTATTCATGTGATAAGGATTATAATTCAGCTACATATCATAGAATTATTTACCTTGCTTTTTTGCATTTGTACAGTACTTCCTAGATGCAGCTAGTTTGCTGCTGAGAAATAGGAAGCTGTATAATCATACTCGTTCCTTAGCTTTTCTGAATAATCTTACATATGCTGACATTTCTATATAAGATCACTAGTCCAAGAAACTTGTGGGTTGACTGCTGTAAAATAATTCCAGTATTAAGAGTCTTCCAGTGTTTGCCATCCAGAAATACCATAGCTCCCACATCTCTACTGTGGTCTTTGTCCGTACTTCTGAGAGCTTCTTGGTTACTGATGGACATAAAAAATAGCATTCAGAATGAGAAATAAGCAAAACCAATGTTAATGGCTATCTGCACTACAAAAATAGTGTTCGCTTTCACTATGGTAAACAATTTAAATATATAAGGAAAACAAAAAGACAAAATGGTCAGAAAACTAAAATGAAAATGATATAGAAGAACTGTTTGATTCATACAATGTATAAACCAAGTTTATTCATGGATGATAAAGCATTATTCAAAAATTGAATTTACATAACATTGAACATAACATAAATACATCACATAAATTGTGATTTATTGTGTTAAAGCTGCAGTACTCATTCAAGTCCTAACTTGGCCGTGTATTTGTCAGTCACTATTTCTCAGACCTATTATCAAAAAAGATATTCCCAAAATACTGCCTTGATGAATTTTACATGCAATAATCAAAGAAACAGTCACTACAAACCTACAAACATTAAAATATGTTTCTTAGCTTGGTGATGATGACAATGAATATGAATATAAAAATAATAGGTAAATAAATAAATGAAATCTTGACTTCCGGGTTGTAAGGCTTCGTCGACGGTAGGAATCCGCTTCTCTGCGGGTCCCTGCTGTGCTCGCCGTCAAGGTACCCCCGATCCAACTGGATTTGGGGGTTGTCGCTACCCTGAAGGGGCAGCGGAAGACAGAGGAGATCCGAGCAGGGGTCTGGGGACATCGCACCCCCCCTCCCCAGCCGGCTAGACTCCTTTTTCCCGAGACGGATGAGCGGCTGTCTCGGCAGCCATGAAGGATTCTTCAACCGGACAAGTTTGTGCAGGAGGAAGACTTAGAAGGAGAAGTTTTCTTGGCTAAACCAGGACATGATGTTACTTTTAAAACACCCTGGAAACCTGACTTTGGATTGATACATTTGTTTCCAAAAGAATTTGTAACATCGGCGAAAGTGCTGAAGGAAAGCTCACTACCCCTCCCTACGGAGAAAGCAAAGGAGCACAGAAAAACCTGCTCTCTAAAGGTAAAAATAAGCTCTTTGTTATAAGTGGGAAGGGGAGGACTAAAAAAAAACAAAACTTTTTTTTCTAAACTTTGCTGGAGGAGACGCCTTGAAGATTTCAAGACCATTAATTAATGGAAATACGGCTTTTAAAATATATCTGGGATTTTGCCTCTGGAGAAAAAACTGTAAAGAGAAGAAGAGGAAAAAAGTTTTGCTTGTTTGGATTGTTTGATAACTCTGACATTTGGAAATTACTTCAAGATTGAAAGCATCTGGGTTGTTGTTGTTGTTTTTTTAAAAAAAAGAACTTATAATGGTACCACCGGTTGATGAACTGAAAATGGAATATGAAAAATTAAAAGAAAGACAACAAAGTGGCAAGGATTCTTTGGGAGCTGCCTTCCACTTTTTAGAAATGGCGGTTTCTACGTACCAGCAAACACTGGAGGAAGGAGAAGGAGAAGAAGAAGAAGAAAAGGAAGAAGCCATCTTTAATGGACTAAAAAGTTTGATTAAGAAAGAAAATGGGAAGGAAGGAAGGGAAAAGGAGAATTTAAGATTTAATAAAACAACCAAGAAAAAGAAAAATAGGATGAAAAGAAGGTACAATGTTAGAAAGCAACTGAAAATAGAATTACAACAGAGAGGGAAACTTAAAAAGGGGGAGAGGAGAGGAGGGGGCAAAAAGACCAGATTGGAGAAGAAAGGGAGGGAAAAAGAAAAAAAAAGCCACGGGTTAGGACAAGATTTTTTTAAAAAAAGTTTTTTCTTTAGAGATGAAGGATGATAGATAGCTTATAATTAAAGAAGATTCTGCAAGAGTGCATAAGATAGTATTGTAGTATTTGTATTTGGAACAGTTTATTGGAATATTTAATGAAATATTAATGTTTAATAATGATGGATGTTGATATTTGATTAAATATTAGGAGATCTGTTAAATAATTAATGCTTAGTTAAAGTTTAATTTGTTAGTGTTTTAATATTATTATAACTTTAGTATTTTATTTTTTCTATTCTAAAACAATGTACTTATTAGAACTAGAATTAGAATAGAAATTATATATTTAATTATACTATAAGTTTGTTATTCTTTCATTTTAAGATTTAATATGTAGAAGGTACTAAGCAGAATCAGAATGGAAATTATGTATTATTTTAAGTTTTATTTTAGGAGAAGGCGTCATACTTCAAAAGTGATTACAGGGGAAATTTTTTGGTTAAAGGGAAGAGATACATAGATGTTTACTAAAGAACGGACAAAAGACATAAGTATAATGACTTTGAAATAAGATGAAATAAATAAAATATAATTAAGAGAGTGAAAAGATGGGAGAAGTTATATAGAAAATACAAAATGGTTAATAAGATATGAAGGGTATATAAGATGGGCATGAATTTGATTTAGGTCTGTCAAAAAAGATGTAACCTGGGGCCAAGTCACTTTTCAAAGAAGTTTTATGTTTTATGTTTAGTGTGTGGATTATGTTTGATTCTAAATTAATAAAATCTTGGAGAAATGAAATTAAAGGGAGAGAAATTGGGAAAAGATATGTATAAATGATAACTAAGGAGGTTTTTTTTTTTTTTTCTCCAATGTTTTGCTTCAAGTGTGATAATGTGGAACCATGTTTTAAAGAATAATGTTTTGTTTGTCTTGTTGAAGTTTATGGGTAGTTCTTGGAAAGGAGGTTATATATGTTTTGTTTGTCTTGAAAAATCAATAAAACTTGTTTAAAAAAAAAAAAATAAATAAATGAAATCTTGATTTCACATCAATGGATATATACATGCTATATTTGCAAATCCAGTGATGACAGATTGATGAAGTGTTGTAACATCTTCAGGAAATCAGTGAGGAATCCAGAATATTGCTAGCATATAATTCTATTTATAATCAGGCATGGCAGCTATGATGGTACTGATGCACAAAGCTATGGGGCATCCCAGACTGCTTGGTTTCTGTTTTTTTGAATAATACATAGAGAAAATACAGTTGAAAACACTTGGATTTGCATGTGCAAATTTGCTCTTACATACCTGCAGGAAATTCTTTGGTTTTTGCAATTATTTTCTAGGATTGTGCCAAAGAAAGTAAGGGGGGGGGGGGAAACACTGGTGACGGAAAGTTGCCTACCAACCTCCTATATATAGTCCAACTTATTTGTGATGACAGCAACTCCTCTTTAATTAGGATCTCACATTTTTTTGAGGCAGTGGATGGTATCACATTCTGCACAGCTTAAGCTATGTCATAAATCAGTAACTTGCTGATTGCTTAGCTTGGAGGCATTTTGTGGACATTGGTTTGTAAAGTTTGAAAATTATGACCATCCTGAGGGGACTATACAGGTTTCTTCCTATCTTCTTCCTAAGTTATATAATAGTTGGCGCATATTCTGAAAATGGGATAATTGTCCCCTGCTGCATAAATCAGAAACATGATAGAAGCATTCCTTGAGGAAATAAGATTGGTAGGAAATAAGTTATTAGTTCCAATAAATTAAAAACT